GAGCCTCGGAGAGGAGCATCACCCTGCCTGTGCTTTAATCTCCCACTTCTAAACTTTAGAGCTAGAAAGCAATGAACCTGTGTCACGTAAACCACTACTTTTACAACGGTCTTTTGCAATCGAGATGGAAAAGCAGGACAAGAAGAAATGGCGGCTGCCCAGGCACTACCCAGGCCTGTGTAGGACGGGTGTGAAATTCCCCAGGGGTTTGAGCAAGGCTGAGGTCATTGGAGACCCTGAGGGCATTAGGTAGTGGGGAGGGAAGGAGAATGGGGAGTATGGAGAAGACCGCAGGAGGATGCGGAGGTGGGGACTTCGCCAGTCTTTGGAGGGGACGTGTCAGAAAAGAGAAGTAGGGTGGAGACCGGTGTGGGCTTAAGGAAGTTTCAGATGTTTGCTCTTTAAGATAGGGGGTGACAGGAACCAGTCAGGGGAGACTGAAAACCAGATGAGCTAAAGAGAGCCTTCATCCTACCTGCAAGCCCTGCTCCGCACCCCTCTGCCTCCAGGACCAGGCATGAGGGACCCACGAAAGCCCCATACCTTAACACGAGCTTTTGTAGAATAAAGGGCTTTCTGTCAAACAGCACGGACGCAGAGCAAAAAGGACCGTAAGCAACGCAGACTGGAAGTCTGAGAGGAACAGAGACGCTGAAGAAGGTGTCAAGATGAAACCATGAGGGGCAGACCAGAGGACACCAACAACAGGACACAGCCAGCACTGGCTCCCTTTTGCTGTGGAACTCGCGCCCCGCCAGAGCCCAGTGGCAACTTCTCAGTCTGCCAGTCTCTAGTCGATAGGGCTATGCTCCGGATTTGGTTACAGAGCTATAGTGTCGAACCAGAGACAGCAGCGTTCCGAAGTCTAACGCTGCAGCCCATCACCCTGCAGCTGGCTGGGGTCCGTCCAAGTCTACCCGGGATACAAGTTCACTTGACAACAGCAGTGGCTGGGGACCAAAGCCCAGGGGGTGTCAGAGAGGAGAGCAGAGGCCAAGCTGTGTGTTCCTACAGACAAAGGAGAAAAGCAGCCTGAGAGATAGGGGCAGCATGTGACACCTGGGCTACAGGCCCGGGCAGCAGCCGCTGTAATGGCAAGGATAATGGCTCCCTTTGTCCTGCCTGTGAATTTTCCGGAAAAGAAAGGATTCCAAGGCCCGCTTCCCTTGTTTGCACAATGCTGGCTGCCCGGGGTCCCACTGTGAGGCCTGCCTTGGCATCTGGGGAGCACTGAGGCCCCTTCTCTGTCTTGTTCCTTCTAGGCATGCAGAATTGGGAAGTCTGAGTGGTGAGCCAGACAGTCTGCAGGGGGCCAAGAGGTTACACAGGCAACTTTGTGGGTGTCCTGAAAGAAATCAAAGACCTTGAGGCTCAGAATCAGGGTCTCCATCTTCTCAGTGTTTGCCGGCCTCAACTCTTGCCTTCTCTACACCATCTCCTCACGCGCAGTAGACAAAAACGGCTTTGGAACCTGACGAGGCCAGCACCGCCACTCACAGTCGTTGTATATAGTTTCTGCATCAGGCTTAAAACCTTGTTCTTCAGACTAAAAGTGAAATTATGGAGGCTTCTTGCCGGGGAATCTATAGCGGTGGCCACACCCCCTTTTGTCACTATCTCCTTTGAAAAAGTGCCCTTCAGACACAACGCCCCTTCCGGCTGCTTCCTGACCAGTACGGGAGAATGTCTTGTCACTTGCTAAAGTCTCTTGTGTGAGGAGCCCCGCTTACCCTCAGGTGGTCTTTGGGGAAAAAAAATGGCTGACTCTGCCATCATCCATGGATTCATTCACCGAAGGGTTACAATGTGAAGACATTACTGGGAGGTGATGAAAACTTGTGAAAGTGGGATCTACCTGGAGGGAGTAAGTCACTGAGGTGGTGTCCTTTGACATATCTTGTGCCCAGCTCCTTCCTCCACCTCTCCACCCTTCCCCTGCCCAACTGCCATAGTGTTCTGTCTCATACAGGTCTACAGCAATGGAGCCAGGCTGCTGATGGTGGTTTCTGTCCCTTCCATAACAAGGCCGTTTAGTCCTGAATAAACACACAGAGACTTACATTAATTATAAACTGTTTGACCAATGGCTCAGGCTTCTTATTGGCTAGCTCTCTCTTAATTATTAACCCATTTAGGTTAATCTGTGTATCTCCATGAGAGCTTGGCTTACCAGTGATGCCCAGGTCTCTTGCTTCCTTGGCAGCTCCCTGACTCTGCCTACTACCCTTCTCCCTGTTTGAATTTCCCGCCTGGCTACATCCTGCCTATCCATTGGCTGAAACAGCTTTGCTCATCAACCAATAAGCGAAACATATTCACAGCACACAGAAGGACATCCCCCATCACCAGTCATCCATGGAGAAGCTTCCAAAACCATGAGCTAAAATCAGTCTCCTCTCTTTAAGTTGTGTGCCTCAGGAATTTTGTCAATGTGATAAAGTGGCATATACACTTGTCTATCCAGGCTTCTGTGATTAAGCTGGTAAACCCTAAAATGCTGAGATACCAGAACCACCGACATTCTGCTGCTAACTCTCAAGCTCGCTATGATGACGTGATGCGAAGTTCATGGTCTGGGAAACACAGAACGGTCATTGCAGATCTACACTGCAGATGGCAACTCTTCCCAACCAGTTCAAGCAATTCAAGTCTACCAAATGTTTGGCGGCTCACAGCATCATCCAAGAGTCAGACCTAGAAGCAATAGCCATGGACAATTCACAAAGCACCCCTGTCACATTCCTATCCTAGGGACACCGCCACTGCCGTGTTGCTGATGCTGGCATGGAACTCTGCTTCTGGAACTTGTGTTCATGGAAATGTGAGCCTCCCACACTGAGAACTTTCTTCCCTATCCAAGTCTCTTTCAACTAAACCTCCCTGGTGCATTCGGGAGTCAAGGGCGCAAATACACAGGGAACCAGTCTCAAAATGGTCCAGGGTCCCTGCCTCCTAGAATCTGTCCTTGTACAAGGTCCTCTTACATTGTCCCATGTAGTCATTCGAGTGCTGTGGAAATGACATCATGGCACTTCCATGACCCCATCACAAAAGACACTACAGCTTCCGCCTTGGTCTCTTTCTCTAGGGGAAACCAGCAACTCCAGAACAATCCTTACTAAGGAAATAGCAGGTCCTTCTGTCAGCTGTGTTACCTTGGGTTCTTATGATATCTCTGTCCCTAAAGGCAGCAGTAGCACCAAAAGCATGACTAGCTGGGGCTGGAGAGATGGCTCAGTGGTTAAGAGCACTGACTGCTCTTCCAGAGGACCCGGGTTCCGTTCCCAGCAACCACATGGCAGCTCACAATTATCTGTCATTCCAGCGCCAGGGGATCTGGTGCCCCCTTCTTGTCTCCACAGGAATCGCATGTATTAAGTGCACAGACATGCGTGCAAGCAAAATGTCCCCCCACACACGAAATATTGCTTATGGTGGTGGTGTCTTATCGCAGCGACAGAATGAAAACTAGGACAGAGAGCAGTGGACAGCTGACACAGTACACACCAAGACTTTGAAAAAGAAGTCTGGTCTATATTTACCCGGTCTTTAGTCGGGAGGACTCTGAACTCTGTCGAGCTCATGGTTGGCTTTCTTTACGAGGGACATTATTTTTATCCTCACTGCCTCTGTGCCAGATGTCAGAGTTGTCCCCTCCTCACCCGGGGAGTCTGGGAAACGGGAAAAGGTGATGATCTCATTTAACCCTCCAGCGCCCCTCTGCCGGGATGCATTGCACCCACGATTCGCCTGTGATGTGAGGTTGAGTCACATTCTTTTTCCGTTTCCCAGGCCATCAGACGCCAGGCCACCTCCCTGTGCAGGTTGGATACTGCGGAGGGAGACTCCTTGATTCATCGCATGTCACTTCCAGACTGCCTGAAGTGGACGTGTGTGAACAGGGAGGCTGAGCCCGGGAGGGAAGGGGGAGAAGCCGGATGAATCCGGTGGGGCTAAGAAGCAGAGCTCTTCCCTCGCTGTCACCCCTTTGGGGCAGAGCGGCGGCAAGAAGCCCAGCTAGCTCAGGTGGTGGAAGAGGTCGGAGTTCATGATGCCTTGTCAAGGTTTTTTTGTTTTGTTTTGTCTTCGCTGTTGTTGCTTTTCTGGATGAAGGTGCAACTGTCTGGAGGCTATCAGATTTCCTCCACGGAAGTCCCTAGGGCCCTAGGGTTCCCTCGTAGCTGGACTGTGGAGACTCAACCTGTTTCTTTACCACTTTAAGTTATTGCCTTCGGCTCTAGTTTTGGGGGCTTGTGGTGTCCTCATCCAGCATTAATGCTATAGCAGAATATGGTATACCCTCACCCACTGTGAGTGTGTGTGTGTGTGAGTGTGTGAGTGTGTGTGAGTGTGTGTGAGTGTGTGAGTGTGTGCATGTGTGAGTGTGTGCATGTGTGAGTGTGTGTGAGCGTGAGTGTGTGAGTGTGTGTGAGTGTGTGTGTGAGTGTGTGTGTGAGTGTGTGAGTGTGTGTGAGTGTGTGTGAGTGTGTGTGAGTGTGTGAGTGTGTGTGAGTATGTGTGTGAGTGTGAGAGTGTGTGAGTGTGTGTGAGAGTGTGTGTGAGTGTGGGTGTGAGTGAGTGTGTGTGAGTGTGTGTGAGTGTGTGGGTGTGTGTGAGTGTGTGTGTGAGAGTGTGTGAGTGTGTGTGAGTGTGTGAGTGTGTGTGTGTGTGAGTGTGTGTGTGTGTGTGAGTGTGTGTGTGTGTGTGTGTGTGTGTGTGTGTGTGTGTGTGTGTGTGTGTGTGTGTGTGTAGGGCAGAGGTGGATATCAAGGATCTTTTCCAATTGCTTCCACCTTGGTTTTTGAGGCAGGGTCGTTCCTTGAACCTGGAACTTACCAACCTGGCTGCCTGGCTGGTCAGAGAGCTCCGGGGATGTGCCACCTCCCCAGAGCTGGGACCACAGGTGCACACCGTTACGCCTGCCTTTTTATGTGTGTGCTGGAGATCCGAACTCGGATCCCCATGTCTGTGTGACAAGCACTTCTCCAGTTAAGCGTCTCCCCAGCCCTTTCACTGAAAGACTTAGCTTGCCGGTTGCTATGCAGCATAGCAGAAGAACACAAAACAGACAGTGGGAAGGGTTTCAGGACCTTACAGCGTAAAGCGACGGGAGAAGTGATGGATTGACTCACCCAGGCCCAAATCTGATAAAAATTATGTCACCGACATAGCCAGGGGCAAGTGAACCAACTTCCCCGAATCTCCGTCTAGCCGTCTGAATAATAAAGCCATATTTGGGGAAAGCTATTTGGCTGAAGTCATCAAAATCTAAAATGCAGTCACCTTTTCACCACAGAGGAACTCCCGTGAAGAACTATGGTCAGGAATGCTCGGACTTCAACACTCCGGGAGGGTCCTGATAACACCGTTTACGTGAGTATTCGGCCACCGTGAAAATTGGAGTGTAGCAAGCCAGACTTGCTTGCAGCTGCCAGAAGGAATAAAGCTGAATCAAGTCAAGTGTCCTGACAGCTCTCCACCCCCCCTACCCCCATCCCCCCCACCTGTTGTCTGGCCTTTACCTGAGTTATTCCACTGCCTTGGAACCAGATTCTGGGAGGAGCCACTGAGCCATGGGGTCACAGAGGGTTCCACACTATGGGACACATTGCTTTTCGCCTTACAGAAGAGGGCCACCATGGACTGTAGAACCTAGCCCAGGCCTCTCTGCCAAGGGCTCCGGCACCTTTGCTCCCAGAGATGTCGTGACTCCAGCTCCTCTCTCTCTCTCTCTCTCTCTCTCTCTCTCCATTGCAACAGCCCCCACCAAGGTTCCTCTCTCTGTCTCTTTTCTTGCGATCTATTCTCCTGAATGCGGCTCGAACAGTCTCCCTCCCAAGGCCTGACCTTAACTCCTGGGAGCCGCAGAGGAGACCAAGGCGAGCAAAGCAACCACACTACTGCTCGAACCCTTACCTGCTGCGAATCCTCTGTCCCAGCTACCTCTGCTTAGGCTGTTTTCTCTCCACCTGTGATGTCCTCCTCCCCCACCCCCTCCTCTCCCCCACCCCCTCCCCCACCCATCTCCCACCCGCTCATGTCTCTTTCCAACCCTCCTTGTCCTTTCATGGGCGACCATTTGGAAGCCTCCCCTGCCACAGTCCTTCCTCAAAATCTTCCCACCTGACCACCTCAAAATCCCACTATTCCCAGGACCGGTTTTCATGACTGGGGGAGGGGCAGTCACCGCTACAGCCGATCTCCCCCTCCCCCTCGGCTGGGTCCCCTTGAGACCTGGCATTTCATAGACAGCAGATGCTCAATAATGACGTGGAAAATGATTAATGAATTCGGTGCAGCGATGGATTATTACAGGAATAATTTCTAAGCAAATGGGTGAATCGCCCGAATTCATGAAAGAATGATTAAAGTTGACCTTGGAATGAATCTCTGGTCACTGGTCACCTTGTTGCATGCAGATAATCACAGGCCCAATGTGCAAAGCTCTTCTTGCAGGGGGAACAGTCCAAGCTAAGGACGTGAATGCTTCAGGATTGCACAAAGACATCTCAGCAGGGAAGCATAGGATATAAACCACAGGAGAGGGAATAAAGATCCACAAAATATACCCCACTTCCCCCATTAAAAAATGCAACCCGCAGCGCATGGTGGCGCACGCCTTTAATCCCAGCACTTGGGAGGCAGAGGTAGGTGGATCTCTGTGAGTTCGAGGCCAGCCTGGTCTACACAGTTAGTAGGACAGCAAGGGTTTGTAGAGAGACCATGTCTGAAAAACAAAAATTAAATTTATGTTAAGTAAAGAATACAATCCAAAACTGAGATGTAAGTCTGTTGCCTTAGTAAATGTGAAAGCTTGGTTGGCAGAAGAGGGGGAGCAGATAGGCTTGAGTGTTTGGCATGGGGCTGTTACTACATCTAACATTAGGAAAGTCTATTGACAATGTACACCGAGGACTGTTCATTTCCAAATACATGTGAGCCAGCAATGTTGCCTTAATCCTAAAGAAAGACAAATCAAGGGCTGGAGAGATGGCTCAGAGGTTAAGGGCACTGGCTGTTCTTCCAGAGGACCTGAGTTCAATTCCCAGCAACCACATGGTGGCTCACAACCACCTGGGCAGAGCACTGTATACATAATAAATAGATAACAAATCAAATTCAAGAGTTTTTACAATGTTTGTAAAAATGAAAAGTGGTCAGTAGTATGAAAGTCTGTCTGTCCAGGTCTAGTGGAGTAACCTGTGCTTCATCCTCAGAGTGAGACAAGTGAGTTCTGCACAGCTGTTTAGAAAGGAGGCCAGGCCTGCTGTGTAGACAGGATGCAACACTGCCTTATCACTAGGTCGCAAAAATGGATGAACGAACCAATCCCTTTAAATTAATGTGTGTACCTATTGTTTATCTTTGAATACAATAATTGTGGGAAACCTCAAGCCAAATGGCAATGGTTATGAGAAGAACTGTTGTTTTAAATTTTGTGTGTTTAAAGAAAAAGAGCCAGCGAGATGGAGGGCACTTGTCACTCACCCAAACAACCCGAGTTCCAACCCTTAAGCCCTCATGACCAAAGGAGAGAACTAACTTCCAAAGGTTGCCCTCTGACCTCCACACCTGCGCCATGGCACGCACGTATGTGGGTGAATACTCACACACGTGATGTAGGGGTGAGCCAGCACTCGGGAGGCAGAGGCAGGCAGATCTCTGTGAGTTTGAGACCAGCCTGGTCTACTGAGCGAGTTCCAGGACAGCCTCCAAAGCTACAGAGAAACCCTGTCTGGAAAAAAACCAAAAAAAAGAAAAAGAAAAAGAAAAAGAAAAACAAATTCTGTATATTTTTGTAATAAAAAATACTCTGCTTATGACCAGCAAAATATATAACTGCAAGTAATAACCATTTGGTAGGACCTGGGGGGGGGTGGGGAGTGTCACTCAGAAGGAACTGGAGGGTCCTGACTTAGGCCCCACTCACCCTGCCCTGTTTCCCCTGTTCCATCAGACTCCACCCAAAGATCCCGTCCCTGGGAAAGGCCGCCTCATTCCATTTTCTTCAACAACAGAAACAATGGTGGTTTCTGTGACCACGTCAAAAGCGACCTCCAGAATAAAGATCAGGGTCACTTGAGGCCCAGCCCAAGGAAGCCAGTGTGTGAAGGTCCCATAGATCAAGGACATCCTCACAACGTAGACCTTGGGGATTGAGTCCCCTCTTTCAGATTTGGCCAGCTCCGTTCCAAGGTCCCGTGCCTGTGGCTGCTGCCCTGGTCATTCATGGACTTCCTCTCCAGTGTGAAAGAAAAAGGCTTAGACAGAATACAGAATCAGTGAGAGGGGGGGGCAAAGGAGCCTGTGGAATAGTAGGCAGTGTGGGAAAGTAATTCTTGCTGGTGTTTGACCATGTTGTGTGTCAGATATGGAATCCGTAGCCCTGAAGCCAGTGGCTCTGGGCAAGAACCTAATCTCCATCATCATTGGGTTGCCCCTCTGTGGAACATGATGGAAACTTGCCTGTTTTCTTAGGGTTGCTGAGCAACAAATGAATGACACAGGTCAAATACTTGACTTAGTGCCTGGCCAGACATTCAGCTATCAGCAAAAAGCCATTCCTGCGTTATACTCTATGTAGTTACAATGAGGTTTGTAGACAGTAGTCCATTCAATGAGGAGGGTGGCGGGTACCACCAGGACTTTTCTTCAGCAGGAAGAAGGCCACCGAGGAGAGCTAATTAGAATGCCTAAAAGATGAACCAGACTAACAGAGGTTAGAGAACATGAGAAAAGTAACTGACACATTAACCAATGGGGTATGTTCAAAATTAGACTATGTTAGTAAAAGTTAGATAGTGAGATCTCGCTGTCTCTGTAGTCTCAGCCATTGACATAGTACCTATGACATTAAAACGTTCAGCAAACACTCATCAGTCAATACCAAATAAATGAAAACTCTGTGGACTACGTGACTTGACGGGGTAATTGAATGTAGAAGAAGGAACTGTGTTTTTATAAAGAAATGAATTTAGCTCAGAGACATGGCTACCTGGCATCAAAGATCCCAGCGGAGGAAACAGTCAAGCTTTGAACTAAGCAAGCCTGATTCCAGGGTTTTGTCACTTGACCTTGACAGATTGCTCCTGCTATTAACTAAATAAGTGGAAGCCCATTCAACGTGCAACCTACTTCCGCTGCTGCAGAGTGTTAACCCTGTCATGACTTCAAAAGGCATCAAATGAATGACACTGGGAAAGGCAGGGGCCGCGTTGGCAATGAGGGCGCCCCAACCTGGACCTCCTGACCTCCGGGCTGGTGGGTCTTGGGGAGTGGGGACTTGGGCTGTAGGTGGTCATTCACCAGGGTTCCCATCTCTCTATCCCACAAGTGGGCAGTGAGTTGGGGGTGAATGGGAAGACACTATCATCCTTCTACTACGTCCACAGAGATGACTTGGGCCAAGACCCTCGAATCCATCTTGCCCTCCCTAGGGACTCCGTGCCCAATGAGTCTGAGTCTTGTCAACCTGAGCATGACGTACTGCTTGTACTAGCTCAGGACATGGGCTAGTCCTGATGGGGAATGTTCTGTGTATTTGTGTATATGTTTATCTTATTGGTTGATGAATAAAACACTGTGAGCCCTCTACCCGTCTCTCTGTTTCTCCTTCTCCCTCCCTCCCTCCTTCCCTCCTTCCTTCTCTCCCTCTGTCTCTCTCCTCTTCTCTTCTGCTACTCCTGTCCCCAGAGGCCAGTCTCCCCTCTCCCCTACCCCTTTTCCCATTCAATTTCCCCCAATAGAAACTCCTCCACCCTGTTTTTTGGTGGGGGAGTTGTTTGGTTAGTTGTTTCTTGAGACAGTCTCTCTGTGTAGCCCTGACTGTCCTGGAACTCGCTCTGTAGACAAGGCTGTCCTCAAACTCACTGAGATATGCCTGCCTCTGCTTCCTGCGTGCTGTGATTAAAGGTGTGTACCACCACCACCCAGTTTATAAAAATAGATCTTTTTTGTTTGTTTTGGTTTTTCCCTCAATATATGTTTTTATTTAAATTAGAAACATGAATGCTTCACATGTCAATCCCAGCTCCCTCTCCCACCCCTTGTTTTTGTTTTTTTGAGACAAGATTTCTCTGTATATTCCTGACTGTCCTGGGACTCACTCTATAAATCAGGCTGGCTTTGAACTCATGGAGATCTGCCTGCCTTTGCCTCCCAAGTGCTGGGATTAAAGGTGTCCACCACTGTCTGGCAAAAAATTAAATCTTTTTTAAAAAATTTAAGTTATCTATAAACAGTACTCTGTGCTGAAAGCAATAAATGGATACAACTTTTACTGATTTGCCTTCCACACATATGAATGCAAACCACAGACATAATACTGCTTTTTAAAAACCTAAAAGAGCATACAACATGCTATACATGACTATTGTACATTACATGAAGCTGTTCAGATCACTGTCCACTCTCTGTGCCCACGTGAACATCTGTGGGTTTTGCAATCTCTGTGCAGTTTGTGGAACTAGGTCCCCAAGACACAAAGGAACAACACTGTGTAATATAACACTGTACTTTTTTTTTGAGATTTATTTAATCTTTATTTTATGCTTGTGTGTGTTTGTGTACATGTGTTCGTATGTGTATCGTGTGTGTGTGTGTGTGTGTGTGTGTGTGTGTGTGTGTGTGTGTGTGTAGTGACCAAGGAAGCCAGAAGAGGATGTCTGCTCTCATAGGAACTACAGACAGTTGTCAGTTTCCATGTAGGTCCTGGGAATCAAATCCTGGCCCTCTATAAGAGCAATCGGTGTTCTTAACTGCTGAGACATTTTTCCAACCCCTTATACTATGATTTTTATGTCTCCTTTTCATATTCCATTGCCCCTTACTAGAATAAAAGTAGATAGTTCATTTCCTTGAATCGCCAATGCATTTCTAACATCTGGAATAGTACACACCATGCAGTAAGTCTTTGGTAACTACTGGTTCAATTAGCTGTTGAATAAAGCCCAGAGTAATACAGCAAGAAGTATCTCATCTTTTTTGAACTTCACTGAAAGTTCTGAAAAGCCTGCCAAAAGATAGCATGCCATCCATTTTACGGGTAGAGCGATGGAATGCAAAGAGGCTCAGGGTCTTTCGTTTACTTAAAACATTGCCATTCATATGTTCAGCAAACATTTATTGAGTAGGTATCATGGGTGGCAAACTACGCTTAGATAGAGGGCTGTTTATACTACGATTAGATAAAGGGCTGTTTATGGTCTGTGCCTGGGTGTTTCTGCTTTAAAACACATCACATCACGTCCCTTCTGAGATGCTTTGTGTGTGTAAGATCCTGCACGGCCTAAGAGCAGAGGCTATGGAGTCTGGCCCAGCATCCTCCGTTGCCACCCTGCTCTGACACTTGTCAGGTAGCACTGGCAAAAATAACCATGTCACAGAATTGTCACGGGCCCTTTGAAGCAACACTCGGGAATCATTGTTTTCTGTCCATGTGTGTGTGTTCTGCCATCCTTACCAGCCAAGGGACTTTGTCCAATCTGTGTCCTGTCATTTGCATGACAATGCCAACAGGCTCGTTCTGTTCATTTCCACATGCAAAGATGTATTGGATAAACTTTTTCAAGCCCAAGATTGTAACCCTGGTGCCTCTCAGCAGGCAGAGTGCCTAAGTGTGACCCCAAGGGGGGCTCTTCTCCTGCCTTCTTCCCTTAGCGTCTGTCCCCAACAAGGAAGAACGGACGTCCAGCTGCAAGGCTGAAATGGGAACTAGCAGAGGTTCTAATAGCTGCAGCTGTCTGGCGCCCTGAGCTATTTTTAAACCCCCTTTTCAGAAGTCCCACCCTCCCCCGTGCTCGCAGTGGATCTATTTTCTTAACTGCCAAGAGATAATGCTTAAAAATGGATAGCTTGAAAATATTCCACGGCGCTCATAAAAATGACTGAAATAGATAGCGCACATAAGACAGCCTTTGTGTACAAAAGAGGACAGTGTGGTAAAGTCTCTCAGACCCCAGGGCAGCGCAGCCGCTGGTTCTGTTGCTGACAACCATGCCTTTGTGTCTTGAATGTGTGCTGTGCCCAGAAAAGGCAAGAAAACCAGTCATTGTGGAAACCAGCAGAGATCTGCCATTCAAAGTGGTCATCCATCCCAGGCAAACAGGAGACCCCAAAATAACTCCCAAAGGACGGTGCTTGACTTGGGCACTGCCTTATCTAGTGAGCCTGTCCAAACTGTCAACTTGAACATGCCCTTGTCCTTTCCCCGAACTCTGGAATGTTTTCCGCCCCACCGGGTAAACCACTGCTCCTGCAGTCATAAGTTACAGATGTAGGAATCATCCTCCCTTCCCACTACCAATCAAGTTCGACCATATCATTTTCTACATCTAAATACATCTCAAGTCTCAGCCTCTTCACACCTCCCTCCCCGCCCCCCAGCCGCTGCCTGAGTTGAGTGCTTGCAAAACAAACAAACAAACAAACAAACACAAAACCAAAAACGGGTTTTTGCAAGAGCATCCAATCTAATCTTTTCATGCGTTCTTGTGGGGTGGGTTGAAGGGTTGCAGGTACGTGTGTATCTTTGTGTATGTGCAGTGCGAGCATACATGGGGTGCCTGTGTCGATAGGTGTGCCTACATGTGGAGGTCAGAGGGCAGCCACAGATGTCATTGCTCAGGTGCTATCCACCTTGTTCATTTATTTGGACAGCATCCATCACTGGCTTGGAACTCACAATGTAAACTAGATTGTCTATCCAGCAGCCCGCAGATTTGCCGTCTCTGCCTTCTCAGGGCTGGGACAAGTGCAAGCCACCATGCCCGGCGTGTGTGTGTGTGTGTGTGTGTGTGTGTGTGTGTGTGTTTTCTAGGATTGAATTTAGGTCTTTGTGCCTTTAAGGCAAGCACTTTCCTGATAGCGATCTTCCCACCCCAACCCTCCAATCCAATTGTCCTATAGCTGTTTAGTTGTTGTTGCCATTGCTGCTACTGCTACTGTTGCTGCTGTTGTAATTGTTGTTACTGTTGCTGCTGCTGTTGTTGTTATTGGTGGTGCTGCTGTTGCTATTGTTATTATTGTTGCTGTTGTAATTGTTGTTGCTGCTGCTGTTACTGTTGCTGTTGTTGTAATTGTTGTTACTGTTGTTACTGTTGCTGCTGTTGTTGTTGTTATTGGTGGTGCTGCTGTTGCTATTGTTATTATTGCTGCTGTTGTAATTGTTGTTACTGTTGCTGCTGTTGTTGTTATTGGTGGTGCTGCTGTTGTCCTTGCTGCTGTTGCTACTGCTATTGCTGTTGCTGTTGTAATTGTTGTTACTGTTGTTACTGTTGCTGCTGTTGTTGTTGTTATTGGTGGTGCTGCTGTTGCTATTGTTATTGTTGTTGCTGTTGTAATTGTTGTTACTGTTGTTACTGTTGCTGCTGTTGTAATTGTTGTTACTGTTGTTACTGTTGCTGCTGTTGTAATTGTTATTGGTGGTGCTGCTGTTGCTATTGTTATTGCTGTTGCTGTTGTAATTGTTGTTACTGTTGTTACTGTTGCTGCTGTTGTTATTGTTATTGGTGGTGCTGCTGTTGCTATTGTTATTATTGTTGCTGTTGTAATTGTTGTTACTGTTGCTTCTGTTGTTATTGTTGTTGTTACTGTTGTTGTTGCTGCTGCTGTTATTGTTGCTGTTGTTGTAATTGTTGTTACTGTTGCTGCTGTTGTTGTTGTTGTTGCTGTTACTGTTGCTGTTGTTGTAATTGTTGTTACTGTTGTTACTGTTGCTGCTGTTGTTATTGTTATTGGTGGTGCTGCTGTTGCTATTGTTATTATTGTTGCTGTTGTAATTGTTGTTACTGTTGTTACTGTTGCTGCTGTTGTTATTGTTATTGGTGGTGCTGCTGTTGCTATTGTTATTATTGTTGCTGTTGTAATTGTTGTTGCTGCTGCTGTTACTGTTGCTGTTGTTGTAATTGTTGTTACTGTTGTTACTGTTGCTGCTGTTGTTGTTGTTATTGGTGGTGCTGCTGTTGCTATTGTTATTATTGCTGCTGTTGTAATTGTTGTTACTGTTGCTGCTGTTGTTGTTATTGGTGGTGCTGCTGTTGTCCTTGCTGCTGTTGCTACTGCTATTGCTGTTGCTGTTGTAATTGTTGTTACTGTTGTTACTGTTGCTGCTGTTGTTGTTGTTATTGGTGGTGCTGCTGTTGCTATTGTTATTGTTGTTGCTGTTGTAATTGTTGTTACTGTTGTTACTGTTGCTGCTGTTGTAATTGTTGTTACTGTTGTTACTGTTGCTGCTGTTGTAATTGTTATTACTGTTGCTGCTGTTGTTATTGTTATTGGTGGTGCTGCTGTTGCTATTGTTATTGCTGTTGCTGTTGTAATTGTTGTTACTGTTGTTACTGTTGCTGCTGTTGTTATTGTTATTGGTGGTGCTGCTGTTGCTATTGTTATTATTGTTGCTGTTGTAATTGTTGTTACTGTTGCTTCTGTTGTTATTGTTGTTGTTACTGTTGTTGTTGCTGCTGCTGTTATTGTTGCTGTTGTTGTAATTGTTGTTACTGTTGCTGCTGTTGTTGTTGTTGTTGCTGCTGCTGTTACTGTTGCTGTTGTTGTAATTGTTGTTACTGTTGTTACTGTTGCTGCTGTTGTTATTGT